GTAGACTCAGATACTCATCACTCAGTAACTCCCATACGATACGATAGGTTAGTAACTAGGGAAATATTTAAGTTCACGCGTGACGCACGGAGACGTACCTCGCATAGTAATGTCACATCTGATGTACATGATGTAGGTACCACATGCACAATGTATAGTTGGCAGGTAACTAGAGATCATATCTAGGTCCTGGAGGGAATTACCTGCTCTGACGTGGGCAACGTGTTTCACAAATAGGATGGGTAGAGACAGAATAGGGTAGACGACTAATTTTTATTTTAATGTCCGTCTGGTAGATTATTTAAAAACATTTGACACGTATTTTTTATTTTCTTTTTTTATTGGATAAGCCGGCAAACGAGCCCAGGCGGATCACCTGATGGTAAGCAATCAGCGCCGCCCATGTACTGAGGATGTTTCTATGGTAATAGTTTGTTACCTACCCATAAAATCTATACTTTACTAATCGACTGAATATTTTTCTTCGAATATTCGAAAGTGCTTGTATGACGTACTTGGAAAAACCATAACTTTCGCTGTTTTCCACTAATGGGCTCAATACTGTTATTTGTCAAGTAGTTGCCGAATACTTGATTTACTATAGCTACGTCTCTGCCTACCCCCATTTACGAAACAATCAATACAATATTTTGACTTTGACATTGTACTGACTACTGACACGGTCACAATGTCCTCAGTAGAGGCTGAGAGACTAAACAGCTGACAATCGCGAGCTAAGGTCAGTTGCACAGTAGCGCCATCTCTCGACAGATACATTGTATTAAGACGTTCCCAGGGGTATATCTGTCCTTATCTAGTTGTATGGCCTCGAGAGAGACAGCATAATGGTAACCTGTCTTACATGAGACAATTTAATCTGAATAATTATAATCTTTGGTATAATCTTTTACCTTTTAATTTCAATAAGAATACTGGAGGAGTGGAGGAGTGTTTGGTAACATTCCCCCAGAGTTGTTTTTATATAAAAAGTTTAGCATTTTTTATTGTTATAATCAATCAATCAATTAATTTATTCAGATAATACAATCTATATGGTTAGTAAAGATATACACAACTTATAAACTAGTATTAGTACATAAACATCGTCATATAAAATTCAAATAATTTATCATAAATAATATAATAATACAATACAAACGACTTACACTACTTCTGGGCTCGGTTTGTAGGCAACACTTGCGTCTTCGTCCAGTGTTTTAGCATCAGGCCATCAGTCCCATCCGCCACAGTCATCAAAAGACTGCTGGCGCTGCCCCGCACCCGCTGCATCAGGGAAGCGACACGGTTTCTTATGAATAGAAATCATGCGTGCATCATCGAATATTCTCAATGCGCTACAGTGTCGAGGCAGCCTCAACAGTGCCCTCTATGCGTTATTATATTGGACTCGCAAGGAGCCGCGGAAAACGTAAACGGTTGGTTACCGGGGCTTCAGCTCCAAGGACAGGAACGGGGTGGTTTTTAGTCAGTAAGAGTCTGACATTCCCTCCCGCCTCACCTAGGCGGGAGCAGTCATTCGATGATTTTCCCCCCTTGTAAGTCCTCTGCGTGTAGTCGACCCATAGTCTGCGGTATAAAAAGATTTGCCCTGACAAGTGTAGCCTTCACATCATAAGAACACTTTGCAAATCTGCGGATTATGCTAATCCCTAATTGCTCGATCAATAAATGAGTAGCTGTGTTTGAACAGAATGAAATTACTCTTTCTATTATTTATAATTGTTACCAATAATCGTTATGTTGTTCTCAATTTCTTATAATAAAACAAACATTGATGGTTAATTCGCCATGAATACAATTCATAATTTAATTTGTCAAACATGAGCAATCACAAAGTTACGACGCATTTTACTATAAAATTCATTGAAACATTCTTACATCACGCCAACTATTTAAGAGAAGCTCTACCTCTATACGTTTCAAGTCACACCAGAACTTATATTCATAGTAGATTATCCTAGTCTTCGTCCACTACTGGACATAGTCTTCTCCAATCTTCAACAACATGGGGTTCTTCGTAAATAGGTTTTTTAAGGGTCGGCAAGGCGCATGTAATGCTCCAAGTGTTGCAAGCGTACATAGGCCACAGTAACCTCTTAACATCAAGTGGGAATTAGCTTTAAAAAAAAAACATTTCTCATCCAACTACTGCCGGCCACCTAGCGGATTTCGTCACTCCACCTAGCTCACCACTACGTTACGGGAACTCAACACTACGTTCGCCTAGACGCGGTCTCCACTCCAGAACACATCTACCACAACGGTTGTCGATTCTTCGACAAATGTAACCAGTCCACTGCCACTTCAGCTCGATCTTGATTACGGTCCGCCATGTCAAGGGTTGTAAGTGTAACTTCGACCAACGACGGGCAAGAATACGATCGAGTTCACTTCGAAAGTTACAGAATAACCTAGCACCTAGGCTATTTTGCAACTGTCAAGTGACAGCAAGAGTTAATCCTTTGGGCTATGTCGATAATCTTTGGTTCTCTGTCGGATCTCGGATCACTTCGTTTCGGATCCTTCAGAGAGGCACTGTACATATAATGTAACTCCTTTAATTAACATTGAGTGTACGTGATCTTGCAGCTAATCAGTGGCCTGTCCTCATAGAGCCCGGTCACACGGCGTTACATTCATTCGCCACACACTCGGTTCCCACGACATTGACTGCGCGCGAGGCTGGTCTGAGAGGACATTATCTTAATATTATGTAATACATGTATTATAAAACATAACTACATTATAATGAGGTTGTTCTAAACTCTGAGCTGCTGGTTTAAGACCTAATTTGGCAGTTTCGTGTCCGGAAATGCGGTGGCAAGTTGCACTGCAAATGACAAAGAAAGTGATTTTGTTCGAGTGTAGTGTACAATTGAACAGATACCGGGCAACTACGTTTTTTTGATAAATCTGCCTACATAACATA